ACACTCCTGGCCCCGAAGGAACTGGCTGCAGTTGAAGCACTGGGTGGGGCCAGGACCCCAGCAATGCCCATGGGCGCACAGTGGGTAGCAGGTCAGGGCCTCCTCCACTGCAGTAAGGAGGAAGGGGCCAAAGGGGACTCTTAGGGGAGGCACCAGGGCCAGTGAACCAGGGGAAGGGCTGTGGGTGTGGCTCTGACTGAGGGTGGAGCTAGGTCGTGAGAAATGCAGGGAGAGGGAGGGAAGGAAAGAAACTGAGGCAGTGTGGCAGGACCCAGCTAGAAGCGTGCACGCCACGCCAGCTGCAGCCCAGTCAAGAGTGGTGCTCGAGAGTCAGGTGGTCTGCACAAGCCCCAGGAAGCTGCTGCCAGGGTCCCATGGGCACTCCCGGGTGCTGGCAGACAGGGAGCACGTGACGCTGGGCCTCGTCTTACCGCATTCGCGCTCTGGCCGGTTGGCACTGTGGAGCAGGGCCTGGTGGGGATTCCGGAAGAGCTGGCCCCAGGGCACCGTGTGGACGAAGCAGAGGCGGGCATTGCGGTGGATAAGGGCCAGCCCACTGCCCAGCTCCCGCAGTGAGCGCAGCCCCAGCGAGCTGATGCCCAGCCCTTGCAGGGTCAGCGAGTAGGCGCCACTATGGGAGGAGGTGCCAATCAGCAAGGGTGACCCTCACTTTCCTGCTGTTCCCCAGGACACTCTGGAGATGCGGTGGAAGGTTAGTGCTGTGTCCACGGGAGCTAGAGTACCCACCCATGCCCAGAGCTGCTCATGGGGACTCCTCCCCGGGGCAGTCCTTCCACTCCCACTCCCATCTCCTGCAGCTCACTCGTGCAGAACTCGTCCCCGGATTACTCGAAGGTTCTGGAAGACACTGAGGTTAGATAGGCTGTCTGGCCATGCTGAGATGTACAGGTAACCTGCAGGCAGAGGATGAGGAGGGGTGAGGGGACAGGACAGACCCCACAGTCCCTGCAGAGCAAGACAGAGAGAAGGAGCCCACCTGTGATCTCCTCCAGAGTGTCGAACACTCTCAGCTGCTCAGGCTGCAGGGGGGCAGTGTTGGAGGCCGGGTCCCTAGAAGGATCAAGAGGAGCATCAGCAGGGCCAGGAAGGGGCGGGTGCGACCCCCAGAGTCACCACACTCCCCACCCCACCATTAAGGCCTTCGCTTCAACCCTCTGCCATCATGCCCAGCTGTTCCCATCCTGAGCTTCAAAGTCCAGGCAGTGGTCTGACCCTGGTTTGGCCGGCCCTGTCGAGACAGTGTTTACACCCTTTGATCCAGAAGTTTCACTTCTAGAAATGTGGCCTAGAATGGCACTGGCCTTGGTTCCAAGAGGCGCATACAAGAACTGCTTAGAGGATGACATTGTAAATGACCTGTCTATCTGTGAGTGGGGGAGCTGTTCAAGAAAATTCTGACTTTCCAAACTGCAGAACAAGAACAAACGTAAGGAGGCCTGAGTGTCTGCCAGGCTTCGTCCTAAGAGCATTACAATTCTTAACTCATTCAAACTGGACAGCCACCTTCCAAGGTGGGGACTAGTCCTTCCTCCTTTTACTGCTGAGGAAACTGAGGCACAAGTCTCGTAAGTGAGAGAGCCAGGTCCCTTGGTTGCCACCTGCTCCAGAGGTGTCAAAGACCACAATAGCTTGGGGACCAGCAGTTAGCGTAATGGCTATGTCACTGGACTCCCATGTAGTTGACCACGGTTCATGTCCCCGACCCGGTAGCTTAAACTCACGCCAGGTGCGTGTGCGTGCATGCCCAAGATCCCAAGAGGAGAATGGAGAAGGGATTGAGGCGTGGCCATCTCCCCTGGGGTGTGATTTCTTGCTTTCTGTCTCTCTGTCTTTCTGGCGAGCACACGCGCCCGCCCTATAGCAAAAACCTCTCAAAAAAAAAAAAATTATGGGGGCCAGCAGGTGGCATGGTGGTTAAGGCTCTGGGCACTCCCACATAGCCAACCATGGTTTGGGTCCCGGACCTGGTAGCTTGCTTTCTCACTTTCTGTGTGTGTGTGTGTCTCTCTCTTTCTGTGTGATTATGTATGTCTGGTCAAATTAAAAATAAATGAAAGAGGGACCAGTGGGTGGCATGGTGGTTAAGGGCGCTGGACTCCCACATGGCCGACCACAGTTCAGGTTCTGGACCTCGTGGCTTGCTTTCTCACTTTCCATCTCTCTTGCTCTCTCTCACTCTGCCCCTCTCTGGTCAAATAAAAAAAAAATAATAAAATTGAAAAATTCTAAAAAAAATAATACTTTTTAAAAAGAATTAAAAAAATAAATGACTAAATAAAATTAAGTAATTCTTTTTTTTAAAAAAATGTATAATTTATGTAATATTTTTAAAAAGCAGATTTGGGGGGACCAGCAGATGGCGTAATGGTTACGTCACTGGGATTCCCATGTAGTCTACCGCTGTTCAGTTCAAGTCTTGGACCTAGTGGCTTAAAACTCACACGGGTATGTGTGTGCGTATCCAAGATCCTGGGAGGAGGATGAAAGAGAAGGGATTGCAGCGTGGCCATCCTCCCTGGAGGGTGATTTCTTGCTTTCTGCTTCTCTGTCTCTGTGTCTGGTGAGCGCACACACCTTGTAGCAAAACTCTCTTAAAAATCATTAAAAAAAAGCAGATTTGGGGCCAGCAGATGGTGTGAAGGTTAAAGCATCTGAATACCACATGGCTGACTATGTAGTTCCAGTCCTGGACCCAGTGGGTTGAAAAACACACTGGGTCAGGTGTCAGCAAGTGGCATGATGGTTAAGGCACTGGACTCCCACATGCCCGATCATGGTTTGAGTCCTGGACCTGATTACTCGCTTTGTCACGTTCCTTTTCTCTTTCTCTGGTCAAATTAAATAATAATCATAAATATAATTAAGTAAAGAAAAGATGTGTGCTCTCTCTCCGGCGAGCACATGCCCTATAGCAAACTTTTAAAAAACAACAAAAGGCAGCAGGTTGCAGCGTACAGTTCGATGAGTTCTGACAACGGGCTCCCTCACACGTCCACCCCCAATCTAAAGACAGCACAGCCCCGTCATTCCCCTCGTGCCCCTTCTGCCGGGCCCTCCACTCTGAGGCAACCACTGCTCCAACTTCTCCCACCACAGAGCAGTTGCCTCTGCTCCAGAGCCTCACACGAAGGGAGTCACAGTGTCGTCTCTCGTTCGACATGATGTTTCAGAGATTGTCTCGCGTCGTGTCTATCAGCAGGTGCCTTTGTTCTGCGGCTGAGTCTGACCTCACTGTATGGCTGTACCAGCCTTGGATACTTGTGTACTTACTGAAACGCCTCTGGGTTACCGCCAGTTTGGACTAGTATGAATAAAGCTATGAACTCCAGGGCACTTTTACACCTCTAGCTGTAGCTGGTTTGGCCCCTCCACAAGTGCGCGTCCATGGGTAACACGGCATTGACCAAAAAACCCCACCCCCAGTCCCTCCCTGTGGCCTGCTCAGCAGTTTGGGTGTCCGACCTATCTCCCTCCACCCCCGAGAGGTCACCACATCCAGGTCCTCAGGACTGTGTCTGCCCTGACACTGCCTCAGGCCTTTGTGCCCACCCTTACCCATCGAAGCTCTCGGGCAGAAACGCCAGGCTCCCAAAGATCTTCTTGCAGCCGGCAAACTCCTGGATGTTGGCGCTGGTGACCGCCCTTGCCTCCCGCAGGTGCTCCATGCCCAGACCGTAGCACACTGTGGGAAGGGGTAGGTGAAAGGGCCACTTCGGCCCCCACCGAGACAGGCCAGCAGCCGCACGGGGAACCCAGGACTGGGCTGCAGCACCCAACTGGGGCCACAGCTCCCCTCCCGGCATGGGCAGGAGATATGGGGAGACCTATAGACCGACTGAGGGAGACCCAGGGGCAGAGTGTGGAGAAAAAGGACAGTTCTGGGAGGGTCCATGAAAGGGCAAGACAGACTGAGCTGGGTCAGGGTGGGTTTGCAGAGGGACAGGACTGCAGCTGGCCTAGGGAACCGCAGGTGGGTACCTCGGGCACAGGGCTTGCTGCACTTCTCACACCGCTGTGTTCCGTCCTCGGCTGTCACCTCTTGGTTGTTCAGGGGGCAGACCAGAGTGCAGGACCCCACGTCCGTGGATAGGTAGTTGTCTGAGAACGGGAACATGTATCCATGTGCCCTGGCCCTTCACGCCCACCTAGCAGTGTCCCCGCACCCAGGTACAGTACTTAAATGTCCTCACTAGATGTGTGAGCGTGTGACATTCATGGACCCCTTGCCACAGCCCTTGTACACAGTCGTGTACTCATAAGCAGAGCCGGGCTTTGAACCTTAATGGCTCCACAGTACACTCTCACCAGGACCTGCAGGCTCACCCCGGTCTTCTGTGAGAGGAGAAAGCTCCCCATGTCTAAGCCCAGTACCTAAATGCCCAATGGGTGACAGGGGAGCTGCTAAATAAACTCTGATCTATTCAGACTAGAGAGTAAAACCACAGTGAAGAGCGCATACTATGTTCCAGGTAACGATTAAAAGCTTTGCAGGGGGGCCAGCAGGTGGCGTGGCAGTTAAGGTGCTGGTTAAGGTCTCACATGGCCAACCACTGTTTGAGTCCTGGACCTGGCAGCTTGCTTTTTCACTCCCCCACCAACCTGGCTGTCTTTTTCTGGTCAAATTAAAAGAAATAATCAATCAAATAAAATAATTATCTAAAAAATAAATAAATAAAAGTTTTGCAGGGACTAGCCCAAGGCAGCAGGATCCCATATGGCCAACTGCACAGTTTAAGTGCCAGACCCAGCGGCCTGAGAACACACCAGGCACGTGCATGCGTGCCCAAAGTCCTGTGAGGAGAATAGAGGGAAGAGAGTGCTGTATGGCTATCCCCCCAGGGATGCTTTCTCACTTTCCCTGGCTCTCTCTGGTGAGCACCTGCACCCGACAACAAATTACAACCAGTCAATTAAAGCTTTACGATTTGTTTTTAATTGCCAGAGGGCACGTGCACCCACCAGAGAGACAGAGGAGAGGGAAAAGCACCCCCCCAACAGGGCATGGTCATACCGCAATCCCTTCTCCATCTTATTGGGATTTGGGGCACACATGCACGTGCAAACACACACACACACACCTGGTGTTTTTCAAGCCTCCAGAGCCAGGGTTTGAACAGTGTTCAACCATGTGGAATCCAGCTCCCTTAACCACGAGACCCTGGGGCCGGCCCACGCTTTACAATGTTAACTCATTTAAACGTTAGAACTTACCTGATGAGGTCAAGCCTATTCTGCCCCCATTTTATAGATGGGGTAAGTGAGGTACAGCAAGAAGGCCACAGAAGGGAGAGTAGAGCTGGGTTTCAAACCCAGTCGGTCTGGCTCCCAAGTCTGGGCTTGTAGCAGCCTCTCTTTGCTGCTACCTCCTTCAAAGACCCAGGGGCGGGACAGGCACCGTCAGGGCCAGCTCTCCAAAGTATGGACAGTACCCAAACTTTGCTCCATTTACACAAACCGGCCTTCCCAGCAAACACGTAAAACTTGCTCTCTGGCACTCACAGGGACAGGCAGTCACGCAGCTGGCGCCAAAGGTGTAACGGCCCTCAGGGTTGGGCACGGACTCGAAGGTGTCTGTGTTGTAGGTGACCAGCGCTGGGCAGTGCAGCTCACAGATGCCACTGTGGTTGAAGTGGAGGCAGGCCTATGGGGACAGGGGGCTGGCTGTCACTCGGTTGTTTCTCCCTGGTGTACGGGCAGTGGGGCAGTACCAGGCAGGGTGCCCAACCCCAGCAGTCGCAGGGCAGAGGCACATACCAGGCAGTCGGAGTGCTTGGGGCCCGTGCAGCCGGCGGCACACTGCTCGTGGCAGCAGTCGGTGGGCAGCGGGCCCTTGCAGCGGGCACAGCCGACGGCACACACTGTGCGCGTCACTGTCGGGCAAAAGGCAGGATGGGGCCGGGCAGCAGCCTGGGCCCAGACCCGCACCAGCACAGCCCTCTGGGAGGACTTCTCACCCTGGTGAAGACCTCCCAAGCCTGCTGTCCCCTGTACTCCACCCGGCCCGGCCCCCAGGTTACGGGTTGCCCTGAGACTCACAGCTCTGGCAGTCCTGGGGGCTTTCTCCCCAGCAGTGGGCAGCTGGACAGGCTGGTGCACAAGGGCCACCTGAGGAACCAGAGAGGTGGTGAGCGAGGGGCGGGGCTCGCGACAGACCCCAGGCAGGACGCGCAGTCGGGGAGGCGACAGACGAACACAGGCACTATCCACAAGCAGGAGACAGGGCAGAGAACCGAGACAAAGAGACCCAGGGAGACAGCAGGGGAGACTGGGGACGGGGAAGTGGGAAACCACGAAAGGGGTTGAAGGTGGGTGTCAGCCAGGAGTTTGGCGTGAGAGCAGGCTGGGAGGGGAGCACGGCTTACAGGCCCGCGAGCGGTTGGTGTCTACCAGCGTGCGGGCCAGCTGGTTGTTCTTGTGGAAGATGTCTTTCCACAGAATCGTGTCCTGGTAGCAGAGCTGGGGGTTCCGCTGGATCAAGACCCCACCCTTCAGGATTTCTGTGGGACAGGCAATAATCAGGGGACCTTTTCCCAGTTCACCACTTCCTGGCCTCCTTCGGGGCCTTCCTGTCTTCTAAAGGGGGAGCAGGCCTTTTAACCAAGCCCCAGGTTCCCCAGAGAGCAGAGAAGATACCACAGTGCTTCACCCCACACGCACGAACTGAGACGGAGGGAGAAGTGCATTGTCCTGGTCAGGGTCCGATGCTCATGTGGACGCTGGTCCTCTCCCCCACTCCCTCTCGGCCCTACCCTCTGCATACTGATTTTTGGTGGTTCCAATGACTCTGGAGTCTGGCACCAGCTTCGCCACTAACTAGCTATGTGACCTTGAGCAAGTCATTTATCCGCTGCAACCTTTGCTTCTATGGACCAGATGAGATGACGCATATAAAGCTCCTGGCACCCGGATGTGGGATGCAGTCAGCTTCAGAGCTGCCACAGGCAGTCCCACAGGGGGTTCACTGTTCCCTGCACTCGGCCAGGTGGGAGCAAATCCCCAGCCTGCGTCCCGACCATCCAACTGTGTGCTGGCTCAAGCTGCAACTTCTTGGGAAGAAGGGAAATCTTTTTCTAATCTTCACAGGGAGCCTGCCCCTGCTCTGCGCAGCCACCTGGAGGGGGCGCCACTTCTAATTCCCACAAAGTCTCCCTCCCCAAGGCTGGCAGTGGCCCTAGTCAGCTCTCAGAAGGGCTCAAGATGGGGAAGGCCACCTGTGAGGCTTCGAAGCTGGAGCTCCCGCAGCCCTGCTGGGGCGGACCCCATGGAAGGGCTGGCATTGTCCAGCGGGTCTCCATTGTCCAGCACGGCCAGGGCGTAGCTATCCTCGAAGAGCTGGGTGCCTCGCACGATCCGCAGCCTTTGCAGTGGGACCTGCCTCACTCGGTTGTGAGCGATTAGCACGTAGCCCTGGACCTCCTGGATATCCTGGGAGGGGAAGAGGGGAGTAGGGGCTGAGGCAAGCCCAGGCCCTGGGATGCTACCACCCTAAGGCCTCCTGAAGGTTACCCAGAGACTGGGGATCTTGGGCAAGGTCCCCAGCCACTGACAGTCGTGCCCCCACGCATACAGTGGAGACCAAGGCAGACACCCACCTTGTAAAGTCAAGAAAGAGAACAGTAGGGGGACCATTTGTGAATGTGAACAAGTGCTGCCCACCCGCCCTCCCTCCCTCTCTGCATCCAGGTCTCTGTCTGTAAAGGAAAGACCTGGCTGAGATGACGTCTAATTTGCCTGGACCAGGAGCACACACAGGGCACATGGACGTGACCGGCAAGCCTGTTTTCCTTCCTCCTGCTCTGGACCTTTCCAGACACTTCTCTTTCGATCTTCACAACCAGACCTCCAGGATAGCATTGTTCCCAATATGCAGATCAGGAAACTGAGGCTCAGCCAAGCACAGGGTCTAGACCATATTCACACGGCCCATCCGTGTGGCGGAACTGGATGTGGAACCCACATCTCCCACTAGCCCTTTCCATCCTCTGGGCAGTGAGACTGGGAGTGTCTGGGGCAGTTGGACAGGGAAGGTGATCGAGTTGGCCAGAAAGCACGAAATTCCTCAGAAACAGGCGTCCCACCCAGAGCCATCCACAGACAGCCACATCGCAGAGGGAGTCAACTGATTTTCCAGTAGAGGGATAGGGGTTAGACCTCAGAAAGGACTCCCTGGCTGAAGAGTCACAACACTAGGACACGTAATAGGGAGAGGCTTTCTTCTCCCGCCACCTACGAGCAGAGGGCTCAGCCTGGCTGGAGGCAGGGCCAGGTTGGGTTGCCCAGAGGCCTCACCTGCAGGAAGGATAGACTGGCATTGGCAGGCAGGTAGGTGAGTTCCAGGTTCCCCTGCACCACCTGGCAGCCCTGGTAGAGGTGGCGGAGCATGTCCAGGTGGGTCTCAGGACTGGCCGGGGGTCGCTGCTTCATGTCTGTGCCGGTGCACACTGGCGGGAGGGAGCAGATGGGTCAGAGGACCCTGCACAGTGACCCTCCCACCTGGCCGCCCCATCCCGTCACTCCCCCATCATGCCAACTCAGACAGGGAGAAAGCATGGCCAGAGGACCTCCACCCAAGTCCCTTGCACCTACAGGGTCTCACGCAGAAGAAAGCCGTAGAGTTTGGGAAGGAGAGAGATACAGGAAGAGGTTCCTTCTCACTGGGTCCACTGAGCGTCCAGGGGCCCCCACTGTGCCAGCCCTAGAGAGCTTGCCTGCCAATATGGGGTATTGACTGGCAAATAAAGCCTCCCTTTGTCCCAAAGCACTACTTGTGGCCAAGGGGTAAAAATCCCCCAAGAGAGGAGATGACGAATCATGAATCCTCTGGATACCCCTGTCCCTGCCCCAAGCAAACAAACTCGGGGCATTCTCCCCACGCCATTCCAACGCACCCACATATCAGCCTCCTGGCAAGGGACACCCACCCCCACAATGCCACCCAGGAAGTGGGGAGGGAGGGCCAGCAGAAGTGTAACGAGCATGGGGATGACCAAAGGCCTGGTCGCTGCAAAGACCTTGGAATCCCCCCGCCCAGGCAGGGCATCCAATGCCAGGCTCAGGCTGCAGATCATGGCTGGGGTGATGTATGCTCCTGCGCTGGCACCCTCAACCTCGCCACCTCCTCAGGGCAAGACTCCAGAACCAGCTGGCAGAATCTCTGCCACGAAACTCCTGCCACAAGGGCACTACGTCAGCCCTGTGTACCTGCCCAGAGCCAGCTGTCAGCCCAGGTCCACCTGGCAAGACAAATGCCATAGCTGACCCACTCGGATTCCACCCTGGTGTCCCTAAGACAGGAGCCCAGGGACACCAGAGGGGCAAAGGACCCCTGTGGGGGCACGCTGGGTAGCAGCTAGCACTGTACCTGCCAGCAGGGGGAGATTAACGTGCCCAGTTGAACTTGTTTTTCTGCTCTGGTGAGAAGATGAATCACCTGGTGTGTCTAGCCCAAGAGGTTGGGGGGGAGGTGGGCGGAGGGCGCCCTCAGATACACAGGCCCACAGGTGCCTGAGCTGCCCTGAATTCCTGTGAATTCCTGTCAGTCACCGCCCCACCTCCCCTCCCACTCCCACGTTCGGACTGCAGGGGACAGACAATGGCTGGCCTTGGGGTCTGACACCAGAGGCCAGCACTCCCAGCCACTTTGAACCTACAGTCAAATCTCAGAGGATAGGAAGAGTCCCCCCCACCCCCACCCCCATGCTGTCTCCAGAGAGCTGGGGAAAAGCCGGGAGGGCAAGCTCCACTCAGGGCCAATGGCCACAGACTGGTGACCTCCCAGTAAGACCCAGAGCAGTCTGTTTCCACTCAGAGAAGGAAATAAAGGAGGAAAGGGAGGGCCCAGAAACAGGATCCAGGGGTCCATCTCCCCTTAGAGGAGCCTGCCAAGCCTCCCCACTCCATGCCCCACGCACTTACACCCCTGCCCTGCCTCAGCCCCTCCCCCCACAGGCTCCCAAGAGAAGCGGGAGCAGGGGGTGGACAGCCAGGCCCAAAATAACGCCCTGCTGCCAGGACCTCCCCCGGCCTCAGCAGCTTCAGCTGCTTCATAGGCACAGCTGTCTCCAGGCCCAGACCCAGGCCCTGGCCAAGCATGGGACAGGGACCTGCAGGGCTAGGGCCAGGGCTGTCTCCACCCCCTGCTGCCTCCAAGGGACACCAGCTGTGGTGACCAGGCAATAGGAAAACAACAATCATGGGACCTGGGGGCTGCTGTGCACCTACTGTGTGCCCAGCAGGCCCTCCTGACACTGGACCTGCAACCTCTGTGTTGTAAAGGAAACCGAGGCTGGCAGTGGCTAGATTCTCCTAAGGTTGCACTTGTGAGCAACAAAGGCAGGATTTGAACTTGGGCCTGTCTAACTTTAAGTCCCACATTCCTTCCACTAGGCCTAACTGCACAAACACTTACCCCACACCCCACGCATACATAAATACTGACTCTCCGGATAAACACAACAGGCTGTAGGCAGGGCAGTTGGGCTGGGCTGGAGAGGCAGAGAGGATGGTAGCCCCACCCACAAGTGAGTTTGTTTACCTGATCTGTAGCCCATCCTAGTTGCTAAGACTCTGAGTGTCTGCAGAGCAGGTGGTGAGTCTGGTACCTGATCCCTGCCTCCTGGGAGCTGGGGGCCTGTAGGCTAACTCCCCCACCAACCTGACTTCCAGGGGCCAAGGTGGCCTTCTTGACTCCTACCCTGCCTTCACCTGCTTCCTGCTCCCCCATCTCCTGACTAGTATCCTCCCTAGGCCTCACAAGATCCCCACATCCACCCTGCCCCACTGGTTCCCTTGGGTGGGGAGATGGTCCCAATCCCACACAGAGGTACTCTTGTCTCCTAACATCTGCTCCTCAAAGCCTCAACCTCCTACCCTCCAGCGCAAAGACAAAGCGAGGCGACCCCAGCCCAGAGCCAGGGCAGGGCCCATAACGAGTGCTTGATGGCGTTTGCTGAATGACTAATGAAGTCCAGTCAAAATTTGCCAACCCAAAGGGAACATCTGAGGTCATGGTACCCAGCCTCTGCTCAAAGCTGCCCATATCCCTCCTGTTGGACCCTGGGCACTGTTTGGCCCTATCCCTTAGGGTTCTAAAGAGGGATCTCTACTCCCCCATTAGCTTTCATTCAGCCCTAGGTACTTCTCTTGCTCAGGACATGGAAGGCAATGCTTCTTCCACTGGTTTCCATGAACACTTACAGGAAAACTACCTGTACTGCCAAAGCTTCCCTCCCCTCAGACTATGGGGCCAAGAGCCCATGTGAGTGACACCAAGCCTCCCGACCACACACCTGGTCTCTCAGGCCTGATCTCAGACCAGGGCCTAGACTCAGGGTCTCCAGACCAAAACCCTGCCTGGGCCAATCACTGTGTGACCTTGAGCCAAGTCCCGAGACCTCCAGGGCAGACGTTCAACCAGATACAGCTTTCTACCTGGCAGTGCCCAACTTAGGCCGGCAGTATTTACTGACTAAAACTGGCTATGACAAGCCTCACTCCCTGGAGAAGGTGTATGCGACTTCGAAGACGAGTAGAGAAGCAGTCTGTAAACACAGGCTTTGTAAACAGAACTGCGGCAACAAAACAGTGAGCTACGAGAAGGCCCCTTGCCCCTCCCCGAGTTCCCAGTCCAGGGGTAGGGAGAACAGGTGGCCTGCAAAAGATGGAAGAGTCACTCCGAGGGGGCCTTCCACAGGCAGAGGGCAGGGAGGAGGATCTTTCCAGATTATTCCATCCCCCAGGAGCAGGCACAATTACCCTGGGTCCTCCCCCAGCCCTCCAGGTCCCTGCTTCTTCCCATGTTTCCCTTGCCCAAGACAAAGGTGGGCATGAGCTGGACAGGCAGGGGGACTCCACAGATCAGCGCACTATGTACAGCCCAGCTAACGGGGGGCGGGGGGGGGGGCGTTCACCCACGTAAAAGTGTTCCATGGACCGGAATGAGACCTGACCAACACCTAATGCCCGGGGGCTGGGGGGAGGGCGTTCACCCACGTAAAAGTGTTCCATGGACCGGAATGAGACCTGACCAACACCTAATGCCGCCTCAGTAGAGTCCAAAAATGTCCTGGGCATTGGAACCAGCAGTTAGCGTAATGGCTATGTTGCTGGACTCCCACGTAATGGACTGCGGTTTGTGTCCCGGGCCAGGTGGCTTAAAACTCACGCCAGGCGTGTGTGCATGTGTGCCCAAGATCCCAAGAGGATAATGGAGGAGAAGATATTGTATCATGACCATCCCCCCTGGGGGGTGATTTCTCACTTTCTGTCTTTCTCTGTCTCTCCAGCAAGCACACATGCCCTATAGCAAAAACCTCTCCAAAAAAAAAAAAAACTGTCCTGGGCATTATTGGCTGGCTGGGGAGCCTCGGACAAGCCACTTCGTTTCTCAGAACTCCGGTTTTCTCATCTGTGCACCTATTTCATAGGATTGTCGCAGAGATGAAATGAAACCATAGATATATCCTGGATCCTTGGGCATAGGAAGTAGACTGCACTTTTTTGTTTTGTTTTGTTTTTAGAGAGAGAGATTTTTGCTATAGGGCATGTGTGCTTGCTGGAGAGACAGAGAAAGACAGAAAGTGAGAAATCACTCCCCAGGGAGGATGGCCATGTCACAATCCCTTCTCCTCCCTCTTGGGGTTTTAGGCACGCATGCACAAGCACCCAACATGAGTTCTGTTTTGTTGTGTGTTTTACAGAATTATTTTATTTAACTTTATTTATGTATTTCAATTTGACCAGAGAAGGACAGAGTGAGAGAGAGAGAAAGTGAGAAAGCAAGCCTCCAGGTCCAGGACTGGAACTGCAGTCGGCCATGTGAGAGTCCAGCACCCTTAACTATCACACCACCTGCTGGCCCACCAGCATGAGTTTTAAGCCACCAGGTCCAGAACTTGAACCATCGTCGACTACGTAGGATTCCAGCGATGTCATAACCTTTACACCATCTGCTGGTCCCACATTTTTTTTTTTTTTTTAATTTGCTGTGGGGCCCAGGCCACAGAGCAAAAGAGAGTGAAAGTGAGAAATCACCTCCCCAGAGGGGATGGCCACTCCACAATCCCTTCTCCTCCATTCTCCTCTCTAGATTTTTGGCACACATTGAAATGTACTAAGTATTTTTCTTTTAAAAATTATTTATTTCACCTTATTCATTATTGTTTTAAATTTGACCAGAGAGAGGGAATAAGAAAGCAAGCTGTCAGGGACCAGCAGTCGGCATAATGGCTATGTCGCTGGACTCCATGTAGTCCACCGCGGTTCGAGTCCTAGACCCGGTGGCTTAAACTCACACCGGGCATGTGTGCATACATGCTCAAGATCCTAGAGGAGAATGGAGAAGGGATTGCGGCATGGCCATCCCCCTCAGGTGTGTGTGTGTGTGGAGGGAGGGAGGGAGGGAAGGAGGGAAGGAAAGCAAGCAAGCTGCCAGGTATAGGAC